CCCCGACTTTGAATTTAACATATGGACAAAACCAGATTGTGCTGGAACAGAATTTGAGAACAGTAATAGGACATGGTTTTATTTTGGAATTAAAGGTAAACTATACTCACAAAGGTAGATGAGACTTGACTTTCATTGTTTAAGCCATTGTATTCCAAAATTGAAGTCTACTCATTGGCATCCATAATGTCCATAAGTGCTACACCACAACGAGAGGTCATGTTTTCTTGTATTATCTGGTACCTGCTTTGATACTGAAATTCAGTTTAAATGGATATTCAGAGCCAAGAACACAGGCCATTTAAAAGGGTCAACAATGAGCAAATTTTCATTTTGGATTATTAAAGTAATGACATCAGCATTGTTAGAAAAACTTTGAAATGAGCTGATGGAAGTGGTCATGGCAAGTGCACAAATATTTAATCAGTTTGTGTGTCTGCAATAGGTTAAAGTTTAGACCTTGATGCATGAAAAGTGAATATCACAGATTGAACTTAGTTCAGAAATATGAGAAATTAAGGTATGAGAGAAAAAAATACATGAGAAGAATAGGTTTGGAGACCAAGGTATAGATGATATTAAAATAATATTTTGGAATAATTAATATTCTGGAATAAAGTTCAGGGATATATATCCTGTGGTAACAGTAATGTTTGAGTCTCATAATATAATATGGCTGCCAGTAATCTGAGAATATGTTTGTTGCTTTAAAATGTGCTTACATAAATAAAAATTGCATTGTTTTAACCATTTACTATTTCATTACTTATAGGTGGAGCTCCATTTGTTCTTGTGAAGCTTAACATTGTGAATCTGAACCGTCAGTCAAAGATGTACAGTCAAGGGATGGCACCAGTATTTCGCACAGTGCCAGGTCGCAACCATTGGGATCGTGTCAAGGAGAAGCCCTCTTACACAGTATGTACCTATTGGAGAGAGATGATTGAAGGTGATGGTTGAATTTATTTATGTAATTAAACAAGACTTCAGGTTAAACCTGCACTTTGTATTTAAAAGGAAGCCACAATTTTAAGAGAGTATGCAAAACTTGAGCCACGGTGGTCTAGCGGTTAGAATGCTGGCCTTGTAATCCTGGAGTCTCGGGTTCGATTCCCGGCGGTGCCCGAATTTATAACTTGTGTTGGGCAAGGCCGTGGTCTAGGCAACACGGAGTTTTCCTCCGGGGGATTCCCCGGTTTCTCCGTGGCATCCCAACAATTACTCCATTCACACACAGAAGAAGGCAATGGCAAACCACTTCTGGATCATCTGCCAAGAACGTATATGAACAGGTCCCAGTCCGAGAAAAGGATGGAAGGATCCTGTTCATATGGACCTGTCGTCAGACAGAACATTAAATAATAATAATAATGCAAAACTAGAAACTGTATTTATTCCCAGAATGTCACTGATATAATACCCATTTGAGTTTAAACATTCTAAGTTTCATGTTAAGCTGTGTCTCACTGTGGTAGATAACCTGTATATTCTCGTGTGATATGTATTGAATTATCGGGCCTGTGATAAGCTATTGGGTACAAATGATTGATAACATGTAAGCATTTGTCAAATTTCCATGTAGTAACAATGGGTTATCACTCTTCTAGTACTAGTGTAATAAAGTTTTTTGTTTGAATGGGTGCATGTAAAAATAGAAAGAAAATACTCAATACATGTTGTAATGATAATGACCCTTCTCAAAACAAAACAAAAATATTTTGATATTTGCTCTATTTGTAGGTTGAAGATGATGCGTTCATCTTAAGTTTCAAGTACCGCACCCTGGAAAACATCCGAGCCACAACTTTCTTTGCCTTCACATATCCATATTCATACGTGGAACTACAGAATTTGTTAAATTCTGTTGATGCACGCTTCAGAAGCTCTCCTGGTAATTTTAGCAACTTGCTTAAATACTTTGTTTTAAATTACTGTAGAGGTACATTGAGACAGTTGGTAACAAGTTAAAATTGCCAAGAATATATACTGTTAGAGTGAGGACAGTGCGAGAGAATGTGTGTGTGTGTGTGTGCACAGAGACTCGAGTGTGTTGTTGTTGTAGAGAGATGACTGTATGTGCAGACCACTGTAACTGATTTAATTTGATGTGAATAAATCAGGGTTGACAATCCAAGGTCGCAAACCCGACCCACGTTACAATACATTTTGCATTATGTCTTCACATGTGCGAACTCTGATGAATGTTATAGGTGAATTTCAAGCACCAAATTGCCTTGATGATGTCTACTATCATCGGGAATGTGTGTGTTATTCTTTGGAAGGGCGATTGATAGATCTTATTACTATATCATCGTACCATAATATGAGTTCCGAAAGAGAGACCAGACTCAGGCATTTATTTCCAATGAGTGATGTTCCAAGGCCATTTCGCTTTTATGGAAAGAAGGTAATCTATTTTTTACAGTTCTTACTATTAAGTAACTTTATTTTGCTACTTGCCTTATACACATAGTGAAACTGCCCAACTATTCTCTGATATACAGTGAAACCTCTATCCATCGTTCCCGGAACTATCGTTTTCCCGGATGCATCGTCCGTTTTGTTCGGTCCCGAATACATCCCATATAAAATAATGTTACATTTTCCCGCTTCTATCGTTCCTCGAACTATCGTTTTATCACATCGATCATTCAAAAATCTTAGTCCCGGCCCACAATGTTCCCGCAATGATCGTTTCTGAGAAATTGTAACGAAATTTACGTGATATTTTTAGAATTTAATTCCGAAAGACGCACAATGTTTTTGGAATACACAGTAG